ATTCACGACAATAAAATTACTCAATTATTCAGGAATGTGTAAAAGTAATTGATGAATTTATTAAGTCAAACACATGAAAGAATTATTAACTACAGAATTATCTGTTACGTAATTTTATGCACCTATTATATACATATTAAACCAACGGAATGAAATAAATAATAATTAATGAAAACAGATTTTCTCATTCGTATTTGTAATATTTTGACTCAACACTTACAAGTCCCGTGCCCATGTAAAATCCCGCGTCCTCAGTATTCATGACAGGCATATTGCATAGCGCAATATGAAATCTATCCCTAAATATCGAAACCTTAAACTTCGCTTTGAACTGTGGCTCATCGAAGCAGGGAAATGCCGATCGAGCGTACGTAGGTTCGAAATGAGTCGTGGCGAGATACCTAAAGTCGAAAGGGATTTCAGTTAATATCGAATTGTACAGGAAACGCACTTTGAGCATTTTCCTCAAGCAGGAAATTATTACAGTTTCAGAGTGACCTCTTTTCTCCTTCCGGGGTGGTGTAGCTGCTAAGGTAGAACCCTTCGAGCTCGCTCGTTAGTTTCGAAATGAACCTCAAGTGCACCGTATAATTCCCCCTTTTACGAAATTTACTCTCCTCCAGTTCTAGATACAGTTGTTGGTGCTTTGGATACTCCAACAATTTCGCTATCTTTAACCTGTGACCTTTGCGGTCTTGAACCATCTGAAGAACGATTTTCTAATTATTAAAATTTAATCGGACTAAAATTGAATGAACCGGTCGCCTTTTCCAGTGCATCATTTTAAGTGGTACTTACTTTCTCGTTTATTGTCAAATTCTTACTATGGAAGACGATATAGTTGGTCTCTTTATCGACATAGAACTCGATAGTGACCTGTCCTGAAATCGAAAATTCTAAATTATTCCTCATCACCTTTCATCTAGTCGATAAATACAGTGGAACCTCGGTATATGTCTGCCTTTCACTAAGTCCAATTCGGACTTATTTAAATATGAAGGGACACTAATTGGGCCAGACTTATAAACAAGAACAATTATTGTAATATAACTATTATACATTTTATACAAATGAATATTTTGCTTCGATCCATTTCAAGGGTGTTAATGAATTAAAACGTAAATAAATAAGAAATGGCTAGAATTCTTTTTAATGCACTTATTTACCTTTAACTTCTAATGTGGTAAGATTTGGATGGATGGTAATATTGTACCTAGTAGGATGTGCGAACGTAGGCAGCCGCACGTTGTTCCAAGGAAATACCTATAATCATTACACTCCATCAATTTCTTTTTGAATATAATATTCGTTATAAAATTAATAATCTCATTAATGTGAGATTAAAGATGTGATTTACAAACCAGTCAGAATGACTGGTTCTGAATGGAGAAATGCAATTATAAAAGAAGTCGGATGAAATTATAGAGTTCTACATTGTTAATTGAACAAGCCATTGTGAAAGTACGAAATTTTCTATATCCAACGCTGAAGCTATACTTCTCATGCACGTGATGATAAAGAATGAACAGCTACGGGCTAGACTTTGTATTATAGATGATAGCAACGCTTTGCGATTGATTTCCTGCCAAGACGTTTTGCATTTAGCTTCGGGCAAAGACTTGCGACAGCAGGCATTCAAATATGACACGTTACAAGCTGTCTCATTTGGTTTTTATATTTGATTTACGTTACTATTGTGCCAGAGATTTTATATTATTATTATAATTAGACAGCATATTTTATGCATTCATGCCTCAATTTCTGTTAACGTCACGATTTCTGCTCACTAGTTTATTTTTCCATAATTTTAAGATAATTATAGAAAATTGCGCAAGTATGTAAAAATAAAATGGAATATTGTTTACCTTATCTACTTCTTAAAAATGTTACAATATAACTTTCAAAAATAGAAATATAGAACAAAGTAGAGACTTATGACAGTGTATACGTATGTGAAAACAAACTATGAATACGAAAATAGAAAGCAAAATTAGAAATATGAGAGCATCAGTTAGTAAGTTTATTCTGATTCAAGAGAATTAAGATTGTTAAGAATGTATTGGCTATACAGTAAAAATTGAAAAATCTTGGGAAAATTGAAAACTCTCGGGAAAATTGAAAATTTTTTTTTCCTCGAAATATCGAAAAATACTTCAAATGAAAGTTGTTTTTCTCCTAACTTCGATATTTAACGAGTTATGTATGATTAATTGGCATTTTATGGGTACTGACAAAATTTAGCCGATCCACCGTCGAAACTGCAAACTTTTGGTAAAAAATTGCGTTTTTTGCCGATAACTTCGAAACCGTTGGACATATGGGAAAATTGCATAGAACCTTTCTTGTAGAGGACGATGAGATCTACAATTTCTGTATAAAAATTTTTTGATAGCGTCGATAGTTTTCGAGTTATTGACGAAAAACGAAAAAACAGTTTTTTGCAAATTACTCGGAAACTATAGACACTAGCTAAAAGTTTTTATAGAGAAATTGTAGCTCTCGTCGTCCTCTACAAAACGGTCGTATAAATGTCTCCCTAAGTCCATCCGTTTGGGAGTTATTGGCAAAAAACGAAAATTTCACAAAATCTGAAGGCT